ATACTATGTATACCATAATTTCATCCATTCAACTTTCAACTCGTCGCACTGTCTCACAGTGTGAGGAAACGCCTCAAGTTCTAGGCTTTGACTGAGACGCCTGACTCTGTCCAATAGAACGTTCATAACGGCACAATCCAGCCAGCCAGCTTTGCCGAGCTATAGACAAAGAACTCAATACCATCCCTTGCGTATGTGGAAGCGCCCTTGAAAATCCAGACGCTCTAGCAAGATCCTATCCGCTTATTCAGTTGACCCCTCGTAAGACTCGGCATTTGCGCTACGATAATGTGGACAGTACAGCCTCCATTATTGCATTGAATTCCCCTGCGCACGAACCAGTAAGCCAAGAGACCTCAACTCGAAATAGAGGTCCCAGATTTAGCTAACACTCAGGAAACGAATTGGATCAATCCAATGGCTCCTCAAATGGTCCCCAGGGGCATCTTGTGGTTGCGTCAGTGGTCCAGCGTCAGAAACCAGAACCGCCAATCCTCACTGAGAATGGAAGGACTCGACGACTCGCTCCTTCCTGCACTGGGTGACTCGACCTCATTGAATGTGGAGTGGAGTGGAGAGGAGGGAGGGAAGGAAGCGCGCCTGTTGGCCCGGGCCGCTGGGCCACTGCACGCCGTGAAATGCATCACTGGGGCCACTGAATGTGTCTTCGAGACCACTGAGGGCTGCTAGAAACTGGCCCGTTAGCGTGTCCCGCAGCTGCCCCCCCTCCCTTCTTCTCAATCCTTGACAGGCTACCACACGGGACTTGCTTCTTCTGGGCTTCTATGGCTGGGTTTCTCCACTCTCCCGTCATCTAGGTTAGGTAGTGGGCAAGGTCCTCCTCCAGGCTCTCGGTGCTCCTGTTCCTCAACCAGCGCCTCGTCAATTCTCTCGTTATCTCACCTCACCTCATTTTCTCGTCCCTGTTCCATCTTTGGCATTCTTCCTCTGATCTCCGTCAGTAGTGACTGGAAGCTAAGATCATCCATCATCTTATGTGCCGACTTTGACGTGATTCTAACTCGAGAAATTCTTACGGCGCCCATCTCGTCCCAGTATGCGCACTCGACTGTCGCGCTCGACACTCAACGCAACTCTGTAAGCCACGTTTGCGATTATGTTCGGGTGCTAGTTCGCGTTTGAAGCTGCTCCCAACTCTGGCTCTGCTTAAGACCCGTCGTTCTTCAAGCGCGTCGCCTCCCTACTTGCATGTCTCGGACTACCGTCTGACCTGTTCCTGTTGTGTTCCGCAACTGTTCCAAAACCCTGCTTCCTGTCCGATGGCAGCCAGCATGCCAACACCAAACCGTTCCAACATCGTTGCCGCGAAGTAAAAGTTCTAGAAACCTTTTATCTAATAAAAGACATGCTATCAGCACACTCTATTCCATCGCCAGTCATGATGGCACCTCCCGCTGATCATCCGCTCCAAACACAACATGAGACCAGCCCAACCAGTCAATTACAATTCAAAAAGCACAAGATTCTTCCACGACCTCGATCTGAAAGGACCTCCGAATTACCGATTCGAGTTTCTAGCCCTTCAATCAGATATGACCTGGCTACCAATTCTTCTGTTTCCGGCAATGGAAAGCATCCATCGAGCCCACGAACTCTCAAACATCAGTCGCGAAGGATAAGTAGTGGTCCAGATCTACCACCAACCCCACCGAGACATTCGCGCCAGCCCTCGGAGAACTCTTCTGGCAAGACAAATAGTCCAGCTGCGACCGATATCGCTTTACGAACTCCCCAGCCATCACATCTGCGTCCACCCACCACGCCTCCTAATCAGAAGAGCCCGCCTACGCCCGATGTGACGCCGCCTCATTCCACAAGTCGCCCGCAATTACTACGGCCTATTGCTAGTGACCGTGCTGGTTCAAGTACTACAGCTGGTGAATCCCAATCTGGTTCCTTCACAACTGCGCGAGAAGAGCCTTTATCATCCGAAGATGAAGACAAGCCTGTTGTCAATCAGAACTCACGACCAACTGTACGCAAGATCTTTGACCCAAATTCTCGTATTGACAGGCCTGGAAACCTTGGACTGGCTTTGGGCAACCTGGCACCTCACTCGGAAGGGAGCAGTACGTCCAGGTCACCAGCAGGGGATTGGGCTCATAACGACAGCGACTGGGGCTCTGTCAGTGAGGTAGAGCAGGAATGGGATCACAATTTGCAAAGACTGGTGACTGTGAAGAAGCGACCTGAAGCACTTATTATGCCTCGTTTAAGCCCAAACAGGGCGAGAGTCGTGGAGCCCAACACAGTCATACCGACACAAGCAGCCAAAGCTGTGCGAGGCATGCCTTTGTACCCAACGACAGAGACACTGACGGAGACACTTCCGCGAGGCACCTCGAACCGTGATATTCCCCCCTCGGCGACATCGACAACAATCGCGACTTCTGACCCACGTAGGATGTCGGCCATCTCTACTAAATCCACTACCTCGACTGTTGTGGAGGCTTATCTTTTGGACACAGTCCCCAAGAGGCAGAGGACACTGCGTCATGTGCGAAAACAGACCATTCTGAGAGACTCGACCAATGATTCCTCCACCTCAACCGCAGTCTCTCTGAAGTCGGACAGATCGTATGCTGATTCATGCGGTCGAAACCGTTCAACTGCTCCAAAGTCAGAAAGTCAATACTCGAACGCGACACATAATTCTATCTCTAGCGGCAGGGCTCGACGGGAAGTCTGGAAAGCAGGGGGCATACCTGTGGTGGTTGTTCCTAGTCGGCTATCATCACACAAAACCAAGTCTAGAGAGCCCTCACTGAGGTCGCACTCTAGCCGAAAGTCGAGCCGTACCACCAGCGCCAGCCCTACGCTGAACGACAAATCAATGAAAGATGAGCCTCCCATTGTGCGGCGTCAATTGAGAGGTCGATCTTATTCCATGTCCGAAAGCTCTGATGAGAGAACTATGGACTACCCACCTATGGTGCCTGCTCGCTCGTCCTCTCTATCCGCTCCTACTAGCCGTAACGGTTCAAGAGCCAGTTCCCTGACAACTGAGAGTATGAAGCTTCATAACGCCTTGCAGGAATATCTCAACAAGAAGAAGGAAACACCCAGGGTGCCCGACCTTCGCTTCTCAGAAGACACGCCAGGGGCACGAACGTTTTCCAATGCCTCAGAAAGCCACCGTCGGTCAGGTTCCGATCGCCATGACGACTTCTTGAACACAAAGGGATATGGCTCACAAAACACTCCGTTTTCGTTGGCTTCGGTCGACACAAATGGGACCAATCCTGTGGTATCAGAAGCGCTCGCAGTGCAGATGTACCCACACCAGAACTCGTCCCTATTGATGATAGATCATTCGACAAAACCCTCTGAGTCGCCAGATGAGACTCAATCGGAGACGGAGGGAGATCTGGATGTGCCAATGCCGACAGATTCCTCGGAGGACATTCCAACCACACCTCCTCAGCCAAAGTTTTCTCTTGACGATGTCGACTCTCCTCTCCGAAATCCGCGAGCGCCTCCCGAGCCACCTAACCACCCACCAGTCATCAACTTCATTCCTGCCACCCCATCAGGAACGACTCCAGCTCATGAGAAAATGGTACAGATGGGCAACTACTTTGAGTCAATGAACGAAAAACCACCTCGTCGTCCTTCTGTGGTACGCCGTGCTTTCAATCGTACACGACGCCACTCGGTTGATTATACACCGTCAACCCGAAGACCTTCGAGCTTCTTGTCGCGCACTCTGTCCCTTTCGCGCACTGGAAGGATCAGAGGGATGCCCACTATGGAACGTGAACCAGCGCATCTTGGCTCCGACGACAGCCCCGTGGAAGAAAACAAATTGCACCCTTTTTGGCGCCCCCAATGGTCTAGTGAGGACTCAGACGAGTGCGATGGATACTGTGACGATGACTGTGATCTGCACTGGCCGGATGAACTCGGTGATCAGACCTACCAATATCCTCCGGTAGACAACCGACCGAAGGGACCTCAGAGAAGCTTCAGTTCCAGGATGAAGCGCACATTTGCCGTCCTCCCGCCTCGTGACGGTTCCTACTACACCAGCTATGATTGGCCCACTACTGAGCGTCGCACTATTGGGCGAACTCCAAGTGGTAACCTCAGAGTCATGAGACATCGGTCTAGTCTTGAATCTCTACGACGAAACTATAACGATGATGACAGGCCACATTCGGCGGATGGCGAAGTTAAGAGATCATTCTGGCGAGCCAATAACATCCACAGGCGTGCTAATAAAGAAAAGAGAAGGCTTTCCCTGGGAAGCAAGTTAGAGGAGTTGCAGAACCTCCCGCGCAAATTCAGCGAGAGGCGGCGTGAGAAGCGATCACAAGAGCTTCGCAAGAAGATAAGCGGGCCAAAGGAAGTTCGTGATGGGGTTGGAGAAGTCATCAGGTCGAGCGCAGCTCGCGATCATTACAAGCCTTTCGATAGGACCTCATCACGCTGAGTAACTGATTGGGTTTACTGGTGCAGCTGGCATTATTGGTGTACCAGGGGAGGTAAACGATTTCCACTGCTCGTTGCAGGAGATATAAGACAAAAGGCTCATGACTGATGATTCACGCTTTACGACATGAATGATGGAGGGTTATGAAAATGATATTGCTTATGATTTGCTATCTGGGATTTGTTTTTGAAAGAGATTCTATATGGGAACTAGTTGGAGGATACTTTGACATTGAAGAGAGTAACTCTCATGTATGATAATTACCAGTACACACGCACGCACATGAATATACACACAATATTTGCCTGACTAATGCGGCAGTAACGGGACCATGTATTCCTGTAGCCATCCAAAAAATCGAAATTGATAGACGCCCTTTGCTCATCCCGTGCTCGGGAGCCCACATCATATTAAAGAAAACATATACTTCGCAGTATCTCCAACTGGGAATACTTTCCATTTTCCCAGTTCTTGTCTAACGCCCAATTCGCCAATGATGCTATGGCTGTAATCAGCCCAAACTTCATCCTTGCCATAGGAATGTCACTCATCGCTTCTCATGTCCGGAAGCTCCGGCTCCGGGAGGAGCGAATCCGTGTGGTGGAAATCCTTGGCCGGGCGGAGGCATGCCAGGCATGCCAGGAAAAGGAGGAGGGGCACCACCGGCAGCACCAGGTCCTCCTGGGGCGCCCGGAGGAGGGAACGGGAAGCCGCCTGGAGGGGGAGGAAATGGAAGACCGTTAGGAGGGACAGGCATGCCATTGGGCCCGGGGAATGGGGGCATTGGGGGCATGCCTCGACCACCGCCAGGAGGGGCTGGATTCTGTCAGAAATGGCTTCGTCTTTGAGGGTAAAAGGTGTGCTTACGAGGTAGTCCTTGAGGGAATTGTCCAGGAGGCGCACCTGGCATCCCCGGGAAAGGCGGAGGAGGGATACCTATTCATGTGTAAGTACTCTGCCTAATCATCATGGTATCTGCATTCTTACCACCTGGGAACGCGAAGGGAGGTGGCGGAAAGCCGTGTCCAGGTTGATTTTGAGGAAGCATAGGATTTGCGTGTGCTTGGCCTTCAGCAGCATAAGAAGAGGTGATGGAGTCGATGACGGATTGAGCCTTCTCGTGGCCGATTTCTGCGAAGGACGTCAGTTTCGTACTATAACATGACCTCCAGGCTGGACACACGTTGGTAATAGTCAACCACGTTTCGCAAATGGTTTCGACCACTGTTGTGAGCCTTGCGCACGCTCATGGAATCGTGCGTGAGGTAGACATCGCAATAATCGCCTGGGAGCAAGTTGTCAGTTGGAGGGGCCTTTGTTGATTCGGGCGCACGAGGGACGGGGCGTACAGAAGACTGTAATATAAGTTAGCGAGTGTTTCCTCTTGGAGGCGTGAAGTTGGTGAGAGGGTAGGCTTACACTTGGGCATCTTGGAAACCTGTGCGATCGCTCTTGTTGAGGTAATCAGCCGGTGGTAGTGATGGTTTGTGTGTTGAGACTGTGATGTTCAGGCGCGAAAACGGACTGAAGTTGACGAGGCTGGACCCACACGTGATGGAAGCTACAAGGCAGGTGCCAAATTCATATCATTGGTCGCAAGTTAAACTTACCTAGGGGGGGCGTCTCCCGCATGTGGGCCACAGCTCAACTGGGACACCTTTCAGTTTAACTAGACCCAAGTTCAGGTGCAAGCCCCTTGTCTGTCTTCAAGAACTACTTTACGTAGCCTTTCCACTCCGACTTGCCATCCACGATCCGATAGAATACGATTGTTGGGAAGGGAGACCAACTTCTACTACCAAGTGTTTGACCACGGCAATGGCTCTCCAACAGAGATTGGTGCAGTATATCTGCAGCGTTCTGCTGCTTGTTAGCGCTGCCAGCGCTCTGAAGTTCGACCTGATCGCACAAGCAGAGAGCTCAAAGAGGGAACGCTGTGTGCGCAACTTTGTCGGAAAAGACACACTTGTCGTGGTGACAGCGACTGTCGATGGCTACAAGGGCGACGGCATGGTGGTGAACCTCTACGTACGTTGCGCATAGATGCATGCAAGTGACAAGGCAAAACTGACATAGCTTTACAGATTCGAGATGCCGTTGGCAACGAGTACGGCCGACCCAGAGACGTTGTCGGGGAATCCAGGACCGTCTTTACATCACATGCTGACGCTGCCTTTGATGTTTGTTTCGAAAATATTGTTACTGGTTGTATGTGATGGTCCCTGATCGTAGCATGTTTGGTGGTTTCATTGCATGCTCTGCTCTATTCTATTGTTTAACATGCTGACAATTCTTCAGCCCAGCGAATCAACAACCCTACCCGCCATGTTGAGCTCGATATCGACATCGGCGCCGACGCCAAGGACTGGTCTGCTATCCAGGCCACCGAGAAGCTCAAGCCTGTTGAGGCTGAGCTCCGCCGCATCGAGGAAATCACTGGCGAGCTTGTCACCGAGATGGAATACCTCCGCGCACGAGAGCAAAAGCTTCGAGACACCAACGAGAGCACCAACAACCGTGTTAAGTGGTTCGGCATCGCCACCACTTGGTTGCTTATTGGTCTCTGGGCCTGGCAGATCATGTATCTCCGTGCCTACTTCCGATCAAAGCATCTTATTTAAGAGACTGGTTTTGTATGCGTGCCATATATTGGGTCGGGAGCCTTCTTCGAGCCTCGAGCAGTCGGCCATTCCGGCCCTGAAGACCTGTTTAGGGCGTTGGAGCTACCTATATGATCATGTCCCTCGGTCTTGATTTCGAATGTTAGTGGTTTCCAGGCATGCTCTTGTTGGAATCCGTAGCATGCAGGATTAGGACTGGGAAGCCTAGGCAAGGGTTGGGCCTTGGCAATTTGGGGTCTCTGTGTTTTGAAGAGTCATGTGTAACAAAAGTCATGGAAAGAGCAATAATTTTACGTACGTACATGAGGCATTGAGCCAACAGAACTGCAAGCGACTCATTGATTCAATGTTGTGAGGTCTGTTCAGTTGAGTAAACACTATTGGTATCATGATAAGACAGTACTTAAGCAACACAGTACCAAGCTTAGGCACCATGAAAACTGAGCCTGTAATGAATGCATCACCTCGGCGTTTACGCCATTAATTCTATGCTTTTTTCACCGGGACTTTCCAGCTGGCATCCGTGCAGTTACTTTCAAGGTGCAATTGTGATAGCCAACTAAATGATCCAACCTACCATAATAAAGCTTTGCCGGCTATAGGAGACATATCTGTTTAAACTCCTTTAAGCTCTGAAGATGTATGGATATATATTTTTCGAAGTTGCCTAACTTATACTTTTGTTTAAATACCTAGATAGAAAGACCATTAAAAATCAACCGATCCTTTTTAGTCACATATATACCTAAGATAGCTGTACTTCCTTGAGTGACTGTGATAGACGACTAAAGCCTCTCATCTTCACATATCTAGGTGAGGTACCTACCGAGATACCTTTCCTACTTTAGATACCTAGGTAGCCATCTTGGGAAGGAATCGAGTTTGCGACATGTACGAGATACATAGCATGTCTGGGGCATCATTCTGATTGGTGCGCTGTCATTTATCCCACATCTGAGGATGGTGCCCCTCCAAACCCACTCCTGTCATTGTTAATTGCAAGACCCCGCGGTGCCTCCGATCAACTTGACAAAGAAACGAGACCAACTCGAAACTACTGAGGTAAACTGCACAACATGGCGGACCTCAACCCTCCCAAAACCGCCGTTCAGGACCAGGATATCAATCCTTGGTCAGTCGAGGGAGCTCAGGGTGAGAATGGTGAAGTTGCTGCCATCGACTACGATGCCATCTGCTCGTATGTGCTACCCCTCTTAGACTTGACTACCTAGGTTCCCAAGATGTGACTAACACTTTGAAAATAGGAAGTGGAATACCTCAAAGATTGACCAAGCGCTCCTCGAACGATTCGAACAGGTGACTGGCAAGAAGCCTCATCGCTGGTTACGACGCGGCCTCTTTTTCAGCCACCGCGACTTCGACAAGATCCTTACAAAGTACGAGCATGGCGAGCCCTTCTTCCTCTACACTGGCCGGGGACCTAGCACTGGCAGTCTTCACCTTGGCCACACGATTCCTCTCGAGTTCACAAAGTGGTTGCAGGATGTCTTTGACGTGCCATTGGTTTTCATGTTGACGGATGACGAGAAGGCTTTATTCAAGGATAGCCTGTCATTCGAGGACACCCACAAATACGCTCTGGAAAACGCCAAAGATATCATTGCCCTTGGCTTTGATGAAAAGAAGACCTTCATCTATAGTGATCTCGAGTACCTGGGCCATCATTTCCTCATGAACGCCTACGAGTTTTCCAAGCTGGTAACTTTCAACCAGGTCCGTGGAGCCTTTGGCTTCGACGGGAGGTGCGTCAAATCGTCCACATATCTACTTACCACAACACTAACTGAATACAGCGCCAACATCGGAAAGATCTTCTTCCCAGCAGTGCAATGCAGCGCTGCTTTCGCTACATCATACCCCGAGATCTGGTCTGATGACCCTTCTCCCGATCGCACCAAGGCACTGGGCAAGATCCAGTGCCTCATCCCCATGGGTATTGACCAGGACCCCTATTTCAGGCTCATCCGCGACAACGCCCACAGGATGAAGAACCCGTCGCCAAAGCCCGCTTTGATCCATTCCAAGTTCCTCACCGCACTGCAGGGTGCCGGTGGCAAGATGTCATCCTCAAACCCCAACTCAGCCATTTTTATGACTGACACAGCGAAGCAGATCAAGGTAAGGCCCCATGCCATACAATTGAGGTGCAGAAGCTAAATTTAATTTACTATAGAACAAGATCAACAAGTTTGCCTTCAGTGGTGGCCGCGAGACGCTCGAAGAGCATCGTGAGAAGGGAGGAAACCCCGACGTAGATGTGGCCTACATCTACCTCACTTATTTCGAGGATGACGACGAGAAGCTACAAAAGATCTACGACGACTACAAGAGCGGCACTCTTCTCACTGGAGAGTTGAAGAAGATGGCAATTGAAGCTCTGCAGTCTGTTGTAGAGACCTTCCAAGACCGAAGGAAAGCCGTCACCGACGAGGTCCTCAGGTCGTACATGAAGCCTCGAAAGCTCCAGTGGGCTGGAAACCCAAACCCAAAGCCTAAAGAGTCGAAACCAAAGGGAGAAAAGAAGAAAGAGAACGACGAGAAGAAGGCCGAGTTGCCTGACCGTACTGCAGAGAAGTCGGCCTAGACATTATGCCAATAGCAGGTGATTGTCCGTTGTAGAAGAAACAAAGCTAGCATTGTCAAGGATAAAATGGAGTTACGTTTATCTCTGTGTATATGTATTAAGGCCTCCTCTTTGCTGTGAAAACTCTTGTTAGTCATTTCTTCATGAATGCATTCCCTGTGTAAGTCAACTACCGAACCCTGTTCATGACATGTTTCCCGCGGACCCACCCGCTCCGGGTTAGAAATTATCATTCGGCCGCGGCTCTTAGAGTCTCGGAACCTCGACGTCAACGACAGACAAGCGCTTCTTATTTGCCACTACTCTCCCGATTTATAGTCCTTTGCCGACTTCATAAGACAACAGCATCACCCTGCTATATTTCCGTCGCCTGACAAAACTCTCTTGGAAAAACCCGCCATGGCCTCCCTCATTTCGCGCACCATGCGCCCGGCCGCCCTACGCCGCATTGTCTCCGTGCCCGTTAGACTACTCACCACAACAGTCTCACGGCGATCCGATAATCTCTCATCCTCGGAGCTCAAGGTGGGTGAGCTTCAGGGTGCCAAGTTCAGAGTCGAACCTCTACGCAGGGTGGGTGAGGATGACGCTACCAAGCGGGCTCGCCTTGTCTGTACGTTTTCAACAGTCAATTGATCAAAAGGACTACTGCTGATTCCACTCAATAGACCAGTCGCGAAAACGAGGTACCTTGGAGTCTGATCTTCTGCTATCCACTTTCGCAGCCGCCCATCTGCCCACGTTGTCCCCAGAACTTCTCGATCAGTACGACTTACTCCTCGACGAGAACGACTGGGATATTTACTATTGGGCGACGCAAAAGGAGCAATTGTCCACGACGAATCCTTCGTCCGCCCAGTCACCATCTACCGCTGACATTGACATTGACGCAAAGCCTGAAAGCGATCAGATTACCCGGCATCCCCCTTCGGGCGAATGGGCGCAGACCGTGGGCAATTTCAAGCCCGCCTACAGGCCCGTGCCTGCGCGCTGGAAGGACAGTGAAATCCTTGACAAGTTGAGGGCCCATGTGAGAAGCCGGAGTGTTGACGGTGGCGAGGGTGGTGGTATGGGTTTCATGCCTCCTCTTGAGCCCCCTGAGGTCAAGAACTAGAATTTAAATGGGACATTCAGGAAGAAGTTGCCGAGAACTGTATTTCAAAGAATATCACGCAAAGTCATTGTACTATACGTCTAGCATCATGTATTATCATGTCCATGGGGTCCAGATTTTTAAATCTCAAGATAGGACCTCCATGTCGCTTGGAGAAGCACTGAATACAAGCAGGGAACGAAATGAATGTGCGAATTCTAGTGAATTTTCAATCCGCTGAGCCACGTACGCGTGGCATCTCATCTGCATACTCGCAACTAATGAAGCAAGTATAGCCACTCCTTCCAAACTCCTCATGCCTCCAACCAGGTTCGCCAACTCCGTGGGATATCGCCTCATGACCTCAGCCCTAGAACGAATGCAAAAAAGAATGAAACCACCAAATGGGAATAAAAAGCGGCGCAACAATTACCTGAGGGCCATGACAAGAAAGAAACGGGAATGAAGAAGGGGGCGCATAATCTTGTCTTTTCTTGTCTCGTTTCGTCTCGTCATCAATATCGTAGGCTGAAGAAAAGGGGTTCATGAATAAAAACAGAGGGTATCAAGCCGTTCATTCCAAATTCAAGGTGTTGCACCTTCACCCACCTCCTTCAGGCAGAATGTTCCCTAGACTCCTCAAAACTTCAATGACCGGCATGTCCCTTGTTCCCACACTCGCCTTCTCTCGTTCCTCGCGCTGTCGAAGACGGAGGGCGCTCACACTGAGAACCTTGTCCGCTTCTTTGCCCGCGACTACAACCCGCTGCTCGAGCTTGTGAACGTTATCGGCAAGTTCGTCAATCTGAAACTCGAGTGATGACTGGATAGTGCGCAACCTTGATTCTGTCTGTAACCTAACAGCATCGAACGATGCTTTCTCATCTGCAAGAAAGCCTCTGATTTTGCCTTCTTCTGAGTCCAAGAGATCAAAATCGGGCAGAACAATAGGTCCGATCTCGTCTTCAGGGAAAAGAGGTGGTTGTTCCGGCTGAGGTTTCCGTATTGCTTGCCACGCTCTCTTCTCATCTTGCAATCTGTGAACGAGGTTAGTCGAGAGTCCGGTCAGTTGCCCAAATAGATATACCTCTTAATGTTGATTTCAAGCTGAGCCAATTTCTCGTCCAACTCCATGTTTCTGGGATTGGGTTTCAGCACAACAGGCGCTTTTGGGGCATCGTCCTCTCGGCTAAACCAGTCCGAGAATTCGGATCTGGCCGCAAAGTCTTTCAATAGCTGATCCTGAATGGCACGAGCTATTGATAGTCAGTATTCAAGCATAACATAAATTATCTCAGAATGGTACTCACCACCGAGAATGGCGTTAGAATTCGGTGTGCCATGAGGAGGCTTCCCTGACAGCGCGCGCTCGCCACACCATGTTAACAACTGCTTCATACGCCGAGGTTCTGTCAGGCCTTCGGCTTCAATGTGTTTATAGAAATCCGCCGGGTTGACCTCTCGATGAGGTATTGCTGTTTGTCCACTCTCGATTAAGGAGCTCGCCCTTCTTCCACGATTACCAAGGCTGCTCCGCCTGTTGGAACTGCCTCCCTTCTTTCGCATCTCTTTATTCCGGTTAATAATGGGTGTGTCGCTCATAGGCAGGGCGATCGTGGCCGACTGCGCAGGTAGTTCGCGTTGCGGTGACCTGTCCCAATCCGGGGGCGGTCGAGTAGACTTTGCACGGGTCCCCCGTTTCTTGGATGCTCCGTTGACACGGGGAGCTGGTGCCGGTTCAGGCATTGCCTCTGGTTGGGGCCCAGGATCGGGTTCTTGTGCTGACGCTGCTTGAGGAACTTCTTCATCCTGAGAATCCCCCGACCTCCGCGTGCTCCTCCTTGTCGATGGTCTTTTAGGGGCATTAGTTTGTCGCCCTTCTGACGCGTCAACACTCGCTTTTCGTCTACTACTCTTTCTTGTCGCAGGTTTCGTCGTAGCGCTCATTTCGCTCTCTGCAGGCGCCTCCTCCGCAATAGTTCCATTTGTTGTCGGTGCCTTAGCAGCGCGTTGCTTCGGAGGTCGTCCCTTGGCATTTTTCTTGACAGGCTCCGCCTTTGGCTCTGGCTGTGGTTCTGGTTTTGATTCATCTGACTTATCCGTCTTGGGTCGTTTCGATTTTCGAACAAATGCGAAATCATCGTCATGCTCATAATCTGTCGCCGCCGCTGCATTTTGACTGTCAGCGGGTCGTCTCTTGTGGGCGCCATCACCTTCGTCATCAATCAACCTACCAGCGAGACGCTTGCTCGATCGTCGCCCGTGCTCGTTGCTCATGCTCATTACTTGAAGCGGCCGCCGAGTCGTCACCAGAGTCGTCATGGGTGGCGCATTCGGGACCGTCGACGATGCGATTTTTTTTTTTTTAAATTCTGGGGTCGTGATGCTGGGGATTCGTCGGTGCGGGTGCGGCACTGATGGAGATGCTAAACTGTCGCGCAGGGTCAAAGAGGCGCGTCGCGTCGCGATTCTCGTGTACTGGCTACTGAAAAAACGCTGTGTGGGAAGGCTTAGGTGCTATCGCAATGCAATTCGTGACGGTTTGATCTGTTTATGGCTTCATAGATGGTGATGGGTGGTTCGCGACGTGGATGTGACTGTTTAAGCGCATCGCCTTGTTTACATGAGAGGTGATTTGGTTGTTCAACGCTAGACCCGATTGGACTGCTACCAGACCCCACCTCGAAATCCTCTCACCAGGAGGTTCACAATAGAGCCAGTGGAGCAATTTCAAATAACGTCAATGCATTTATCTTTTACTACTGAGTAACTCGAACAGCTTGGGGCTATGAATTATCAAGCTGGCTCTATCTTCCAAATCTGGACGGGGGGGGGGAATACATCTAAAAAATGGCCTTACCACCACTTATAGCATCTTCAATATTAGTCTCACGCCTCAATTGGCTTCAAGAAGCGACCATTCAAGTAATGCTACTGCCTGTGTGTAAAGCAAACATATCAATTCACAAGTGAAACGGCATCATAGTATATACTCTTCGTGTTTCATGTTGCAACTATCGTTCATCTCAATCGCAGCTTGTGTTGCTTGCAGCTACGTATAAAAGCACAAAACCAAAACACCAAAGAATTTGATCTCCAGGAGCCGAATTCCCCAAAACGCCCTCCACCCAAGTTGGCAAAAAGGTCAACCTGGCCAAACACCTTTTTGAACTGCGCGTTCCGTGTACCTTGCTGGGAAATACTTTACGTACAAGTTAAAAGTTGTAACGGGCGCTGCCTCTAGTAAGAAACGCTCAAGATAGAGCGGCCTCCTCGCGCAAAATAAGAGCGTCAAGTGATCTCCAAGTGAAGCTCGACGAACTCCTGGTCTCAAACATCGCCTCCGTCTGGATGCTATGTTGCCTCCGATCAAGTGTTGTACAGCTCAAACGTGAAATGAAGTTGTGAGCCGATGGGCCTCCGGTGGAATAAACCTAAACCTTGTATATGCATATAATAAATAATTACCTCGGCGAGGTCGAATGGTGTCATGACTGAGGAAAGAAAGGGTCGTCAAGTCCCTGTATTATGTGGTTCGATGGAGAAGCGTGGTTAGGTTGCTCTACCTCGACAGACTGCCCTAACTGGGGCTGTAACTCGTTCTATGAGAAACGCCGCTGGACACCCTGGCCAGCCATAACTTGCTGGTTTGGCATAGGTGCTGCCATGCCATAAGGGTTAATCTGAGGGTTGAAAGGCTCAACAACCTGGGACAAAAATGCACCGTGTATTCCCTGCTGCTGAGTAACTGGGCAGTCCTTGTGGGCAAGAAGAAGCGTCTTCAAATTGACGACTTCTTCTCTGAGTTGTGTTATCTGCGCCGTCAAGGCGTCGTTCTCAGTGCTAAACATTTCGACCTTGGTCTGTAAGTTGGCCAACCATTGTTTCTTTCTCTGGCGGCATTTAAGGGCAGCGACACTGTACAAAAATTAGCGACAAATAATAAACGATACCATCATAGACATACCGGTTACGTTCAAGAAAGTTCTTGCGTTTCTCCTCGTCGGTCATCTTGGACTTGGAACCACCATCTTCATATTTCATCTTGGATTCGTCATCAGACATATCCATATCCATAGGCATGGAATTGTTAGCCTTGGACTTCTTATTAGCGGGAGCCTTAGAGGGAGGCTCATCCGCTTTCCTGCGACCGTTCGTGGCTGGGGGATTCTTCTTGCCCCGGCCACGTGTATTAGGTCGTGCCTGTTCACTCTCATCCGACATCATGCTTCCTTCACTCATACCACGAGCTGAGCCGATAGAGCCACCGTTAACGCTGGACATTTGAGGTGAGGTATTCATATTCTGAGGCGCGACAGGGGCAGGATGAGCGTGGCCAGGTGCACCCGACGTCACTGCGAATTGGTTCGCGTTTTGAGCTCCGTTTCGACCCTGGGCTAGCATAAAAAGGCCGTTGGCAGCGTCGTTATCGTGAGGGTCGAAGGGCCCGGACGCAGGCTTCGCTTCGGTCTTATTGGTTGAAGCACCGTTGGGCATTTCTTGGGGTTGGGAGGTGACAGAAGGCTGTTGGGGTTGCTGTGCTTGGGAAGTTTGCTGGGCTTGAGGACGTGGAGCAGTGCCGTTTTGGTCACGTTTGGCCGCAGCACTCATCGCAGTGCGATGGAAATCGAGTGTGCTGGGTGTTGCTCCGCCGCTGGCAAGCTGAGCGAAGAGTGCTTGGGAGTTAGGGCTGGGAGCAGGGAACATAGAACCACTGCCACCTGGTGTCAAACCCGTCCTCAAGGAGGATTCGTTGGGAGTAGGAAATCCGCCACGAAGATGATGTGTATCGCCAAAATAATCATTAGCCGGACCAGAAAGCATTGCCGGACTCAGAGGGCCGGTACGTAAGGAGCCTCCTCCCCAATTGAAAGGTGTCGCGTTGCTACCAGGCAGAAGAGAGGACGGTGATGTCAATGCAGCAACTGAAGGTAGCTTTGTTCCCCCTGGTGTCTCTGGAGCGCCCCCGAAGGACTGCTCGAATGGATTAGGCTCCAGACTGAGAGATCCGCCGGCCTGAACCGCGAAGTAGTCCGGGGTGTTGCCTTGTTGTTGACCAGGTCGAGGAGGAGGGGCAAGAGGTTTGGCTTGTTCGGCATTGGCAGCCTCTAATTTCACGGGAGGATCGGCTGCCTTCGTTTCGGTCGTAGTTTCTGCGACAAGGCAAGATGTAAGCAAGCGTTACAGTCAATCGAGTGCGAGTGAAGGGGCCTTGGTTTGACGATGACGGAGTACAAGAGATGGAGAAGGAAAGCGATGACGGAAGTGGACAGAGATGAGGATAGAGAGGGATGATCGATGTCAATGACAAGCATACGTCATGCAACAGGATAGGGTAAGGCACAAGGCATGGAGGTGTAAAGTCGACGTTGTGATAAACAAGAGGAGGGGAAATTGAAGAACATACCAGGCCGAGCAGGAGAGCTGTTGGATTGCTTGGGGGACTTCGACTCACCTCCAGCAGAGGCTTCAGTTGTAGTCCCCATGATGACGATGATGTATTATATCTGGGGCTGGCAGGTTGAACAGTGCTGGCTGGATTGGAAGTGTGGGGGTGGGTGGCAGTAGAGCAGCAAAGATGGAGGAAGACGAAAAAGTCAAATGAGGTCAGAGGCGAAGAAGAACAGAATAGCAGCGCGGCAGCCGTCTGAGACTCTACTATAGGACGGGCACGGTTTTAAGAGTTGGACCAGGGGCGATGGCCGCTTTTCGACAAGTCAATAGCGCAGGCAGCGCACAGCATACGCTCTGAAACCTCTTCAACCAAGGGAATGCGTCCTAAAAGCTCGAGCGTAGATGTGAAAGGGATATTTGCTTATACTCGGCACTCGGCGTCAACGAGACAGAAGCAGGAGTGAAGAGGCGCGCGCGTGTCTCTGCTGTAGACAGAGACAGACGATGTACTAAGCGAAATATTGGTTAAGAAAGGGGATAAGGATAAACAGACGCGAAGGGCGTTCGTGGTGGAGTTGAGGCTCGTGCCTCTCGAAGCAAAACACACACAAAAAAAAAGGATACGATGGATTTGCGCCGTGTTTCGAGGAGCGACAAAGCGGGCGTTGCTTTGCTTGCGGGATTGCGTCGTTGGACGAGGATTGTGAAAGGATTAGATTGAGAAAAGACGTCAGAGATGACGTTGTGGGCAGCGAGGAAAGAAGGCGCAAAAAAAAAAAAGACGGCGGCGGCTGGGCTCCTGAAAGCAAACTCAAGAAGGCCTGGGGGGCGAAAAAAGAAGGGAAAGGACTTGACTGAGGGGACACTAGGCCGGCTGACAAAACCGACAGGCACTGGCCTCGCACCTGGATACTACTGGATACACCCTAGGCATTCTGCTTCACACTGTAGGCACTGTATTTGACTGCATCGTTCGATCCTCCCCTCCAGAAAAAGGTCCGGGGAACCAACCAGACGAGTGCGTTTTGGGCGAATCATTTTGGTTGAGTTGCAGGGGGGACAAGGGGCAACGTTTCACTGATTAGAAACGCAGCATTGAATCTGTAAACAGAAGTGCCATAGAAGGAACCCAGAATGAAAGGAAAGAAAATCGATCGTGATGGCCGAGCATCATCCCACGAATCGGTGATTGCAGCTTAATGCCGCCGAGCTCTCTCCGCATCATGTGGTTAAGCCATAAGTTATAATGGTATTCTGCCGGTAAATTGTCTTTGTTTCCCCTCATGGCTTGGAAATGTCGGCAAAACAATCTTTCAAATACCTAGACTTAACGTTGGAAGTCGTAATTGATTACATACTTTTTCCAAGGTTTCAAAACGGGTCCAAATCATGAAATGAGATAACCAGGCTCCAGTACTGACACTGTGCGGATGCCAGACGTGCTAGCATTTTCTCTGTCTCCACACCCCATTTCCAGCAGGAGCCAGTAAAGCAAGTGGGCACTTAGACCGGAGCATCACCGTCATTCCCACATCAACCAATCCAATTGGCGCATCTTTCTGTGATGACGCAAGGAGTGGCCTCGTCAAGCTCATCTTGACAACAACAATAATTCCTTCACCACCCTCAATCTTGGAAATCTCGCGACTGGATCCGTTTTCAGTTCCCTGACTAAACCCGAATACTGACTGTCTCAATCTTGATTGATATTTTAGATCAATTAGATTTAAGCTGAGATTGGATATCAGAGCCAAGCTTGAAGCCCCATGTTGCTGATTGAAAAGCTCCGTGCTCTTGGAACTCTGTGTTCCAGTCTGGGGGCACGCTCCCGAGTCCCGCCCCTTGTCTGGTCTTTCATTCTGGAAACCGAGGTTCCAAAGTCACGTTGCTGTATCAGACTCTTTGCTCTAGGCCGGTACTGACCCCACGAGTCTCTCATTTCTGCAACTTTCTACTTTTTGAGTACATACAAGTAAGTTACTTCAGAACCCCTCCCGACTTTCATGGATTTATAAGTCGGAGGCGTCGTTGAGGGATCGACGCTGGTTGCAACACACCCCCTGAACTCTACTACACACCTAACTCGCGACGAGGAACTGGTTGTCGCGAGCCTCTTCTGATCAGACGCGCTCTTGTTCGTGTCATTGTCTATCTCGATCAGCACCCAGCTTACAGGACCATTCTCTTTCATCCGCCCGGAAGCAAAGCCCTTTTCTTCGCCAGGGGCGAATTAGCAATGAAGAACCTGGACATACAGGTTGACACACTGAAGCTTTCACCAGCCGACGTTCCACTTTAGAAATCAAGGCTGCACGCTAATGGCATGACCCCCTGGACTGGGTTGGGTCCTCAATCCCCTCTGGCCATTCACAAGCAATATCGCATTGTGTTCGCGCACAAGTGTGCGTTGTCCTGTGAAGTCGTCTGTGTCTAGAGGTATTCTCGCATCACGTCAAACTCTGATGGCGTTCAAGTTTTCGGGGAGATACAAGAAGTGCTTCGGCATTTTTGTGAGGGCTACATGCGTAAGTGAAGACTGGGCTGGTGATAGGCTTTAACAAGACAAGAGCAGGCGTGATAATAAATCCCATCATGCAAAACCTGGCGTACGGAGGGGAACAAAGATACACTGTGTCACCTTGAAGTCAGACATGCTCGAGGACAAAACACTGTGTCAGGAACTCGTACAGCAGTCAGGTAGGTGATTCAGGCGCCATATGACTTGCCCATGACGTCAGCTCTTTCAGCCAGTCACAGTTCAGATGTTCGGGTTATCAGGTACTCAACGGCTTCGTTCCTGTCATTGTTAGTTGCATTTACGCACGCATCAAAGTCAACGGATTCTTGAGGCAAAACAACACACACTGGACATCAGCTGCGTCGACGAACTAGAGCACTCACTTACTTTTTCCGACTTCTCCACGGTCTAATTTGACAACGGGAGATATGTTAGTCTGTTCCCTACTCGTCCGCAGTTAGACCACCATGTTGAACATATAAGGAATGCTTCGTAAGCCTCCGTTACCGTTACTGTCCTATTTCAGTTGAACTTCCTCCCATCCTGTTCAAGATTGGTTGTTCTAAGACCTGGATTTTTTTGAAGGCTGGTCGCCGGGTACTACCTTGCATTTCTCGACATCCATTTCCAAGCTTTTCCACGGTCCCTAACACTAATAAAGCCCCAGTCGACTTCATAAGCTAGCACTGGCGCCGATGCGCCTACCGGGGTCAAAGAAACGATGGATGAGAACAGCATGTGGTTGCTACTCGTTCTCTTCTGGCTTGCAATACTTGTAGAGGTAACGAACAGACAGACTGATTTATCCATATACGATGGATTACTCGTACACTCACACGTTCATGCAATTCATCGGCCCATGCAAGGGCCAGGGATAGACTTGTAAGTATTGAGTTATGACGAAAACGCAGCCTGTATGAGTTCCCTCAAATGTGACTTGCAGACAGGTAACCAAGACAACCCTATCACTTAGTAAACTTGAAACTTGGCCAGTAATTGACATTGTGTATGTCAAAATGGATATGTAGCTCTAACCAATTTTCCGGTAAATATTGAGGTTGAATACTCCGGGTACCCAGCAGAGCCGCTTCCACAACTCTAATTTGATGCCCCATGTCCTAGCATGACGTTTAAGTGGACTCGGCCGAGCCAAGTAACTACCAACCATTTCAGTGACACAACAGCATCCTGCTTCGCCTACTCCCAATGTCTTCATCTCATATCAATAGCTTCGCGAATTGCCATTTCTCTAATAACCTGACAACTACGAGCGAGGTGGTCATGGAATGAATGCTCCGTCGTCACGCTCTGCCCCGCCAGACCGTCAGGTACTGAGTCTACTGACCGCCCTTGGAATAATTCCATTTCATAAAGCGATCGACAATTTGGTGATAATCGAGATCCAGATGGACTGTTGAGATATGATCGAGATTGGGCCTTGCATTCAATGTTGGGGGTTGCCTCCTGTTTGCCAAGCCTGGTAGGTATGTTGCTTAACGTATATACGACGTCCATATATAGTAACTTTGCTGTGATTCTGACGTATAGCAGCCGTCATGATATATCATAATGGCGGGAATTCCATACAGATCTGCTGCCCTAGGATAACTCGGGTTTTTTTAAGCCCACCTACCTTAGCTTGATCCAACAACACCTTAGATCTTGGATCAGATACCTAAGATATTATGGTTGGTTACCCTATATGATGACTTTTCAATCTGCATTAGTAACCATGAAATAGGAGACAGGAGACAGAATAGCAGCCATATCATTGACAGGCTCCAACCTATTGGTCTAGTGTCTTGCCCATCGTTAAGATGTGCTTTCCTAGCTATCCCAGGCACCTTCGGAGGAAGTAAGATGCAAAAGACATCCTCGTACATCGGATGTGGATTGCAATACAGCACATGTTTTCTTGACTCAGGTGTAGAAGCCCATCGTCGAACAAGGAGAACAGTGCTCCCCACGGTTATGGCCTACCAGACACAAAGTTGATTATTCAGTTTATATTTTGACCATAAGGTACAGGTAGTCATAATGTGTATGTAGTTCGATTTGCAAGTTTAGTAACAGGAATAGAAACACTGCCGAGACGGTTATGACATGTTGAAACATTAGTAGATCTTCAGTGGTAGGGCTGAGGTACGCCACGTCTTTATTCTCGTGTTATTTCCCACCGCAGTTCACAAATTCAGCTCAGCCATAACCATCAAATGGCCGAGTCCTCCAAATAACAACATTGTCAGGTATCGCCAGAACTGGGCTGAGCTCCGACCATGCCGAGCCCAAGACAACATATTCGCTAACAATATCCCCGCAACCATCAAACAACTGAAAAACAGACACTGGTACTGGCTATTTCCAGGTACCATCGAGCTGGAGAGATGCCCTTACAGCCCCCCGTCACCGGAGGCTTATGAGGCATCATTGCTGCCAACAACACCGTAAAGCACGAGTTGCCACACAGTTTCGACCTGTATATGAGAACAGATCGCGATCAAAAACCTTTGTTCCCAGCCTCCATCGCAGCCTTGGGCTGAACTAGTATATTGAGTAATGAATACCTAGCAACACAAAATATGTCCGACTTAAGGCCCTACCGCAGCATGATACCGAAAACTTGAGATTATTTGTTGCACACGAGAAAATGTGAAACGAATTAGCTATCAATGGGAAGACTGGGGATATCTCCCAATGGACACAATCCTAACACCTCAATGGGTCTCCATGATTTGATGATACCTGATCTCACCACATTGTAACCATTTCAAGCATGTCACGAAAATCTTAGCTAAGTGATCAAGACGGCCAATATTAACGATTACGACCGCTCAATTGATTAGGCATTTATATGGGAGCATGGATTAATTACTTCCAACGGCCAACTTTTGACTAAATCGCTTCCAACGTCACCCTTTTACTACTTCGTTTCGTCTGTTAAATGCCACCCACCGACCATACGCATCAAAATCGCAGAACAGTCTGCCTTGCAGGACAGGTTCATGCCATGAATGGTGTTTACCACCCGTCGTTGCCACCAGTGTTCTGGTTGCTGTAGCCGTCACCACCTCCCACGGCATCAGCGTTGGACCATCCACCGTCCCCGTCACCAGCAACGCCAAAGCCGTCAGCCTCATCGACAGGAGGGACCTTGCATCGAACTTTGGTGTGGCCGTACTCCTGACAGTTGGAGCACTGAACTTTAGTCCCTGGACACTGGTCAGTCACGATTACGACAATAAGCAACGCAAGTAACTCACAATCCTTCGGCTCGGGGCACTCCTTGCTGAAGTGTCCTTGCTTCTCACAGTTGCGGCAAGTCACAGTCGACATGTCGCGAGGCTGGTCACAGTCTTTGGCGATGTGGCCCTCCTGACCACAGTTGCGGCAAGCACGGCTGCCACCGCCCTGAGGACAATCTTTGGCAAAGTGACCCACTGCGACAGTTAGAACAACGACAGTGAAAACGTATCATAGAGACTCACTCTCGTTGCACTTGCGACATTCGACATTGGCGGGGTTGGGGGGCTCCTCACAGTCAGCGGCCCGATGACCAGATTGACTACTGCTGTCAGTTCACAGTTCCAGATTCTTTGTACAAAGCTTACCCGCAATTCTTGCAAGCATTCTTGTCCACACGAGGCTCAGGACCTGATGGATTAGTATCATGTTTAGTTGACGGACTACCAGTAAGTCGACTCACAGTCTCTGACGCGGTGGCCATCTGCACCGCAGTTGAAGCAAGAGATCTTGACCGCATCGGTACGTTCTGTCTTCTCCTGAGTACAAAACTTGGAGATATGTCCAAGTTCCTTGCAGTTCAGGCAAAGAGGAACACCTCGATCCACGACTTCGCCAGCGTCATCCAGACGAGAGAGAATTTCGTCCCGGCTCTTGGGCCAACCTTCGAGCTCACGAGGACGATCAGCATGCTCGACAAAGCGATAAGAAACGGTGTATTTCTTGTCGATATGGCCCTTAAGGTCCATGTTGGTGAAAACAGGGACGAGAGTTCGCTCAGTTGCAATGAGCCAGAGACCAATGCCGTGGTCGATCAATGCTTCTTGGAGTTGGCGATAAGTAATATCACCATCGACGGCCTTGATGTACTCTTGGACCGCCTCCTTAACGTCGTCGACGTCTCGATCACTGACGGCCAGTTTGATTTTGTTCCAGGCGTCATCAGCGCTGACATCAGCGATGTGGTCGCGGTTGATCTTGCGAGGCTTTTCGCAATTCTTGCGCATGTGGCCTGGACATATGAGCATAGAGCATCACGCAGCAATAGATGAAACTGACCTTCTTCACCACAGTTCTCGCAGATCATGGGGGGCTTATCGGGGCACTCCTTGATCATATGACCAGGCTGCTTACAGAAGCGGCAGGTCATCTCCTGAGGATTGGGACACTCGGCACGGCGGTGACTGAGCCTGTTAGATGATGTGGTTCCCCGGAAAGTTGGCTCTTACCCAATCTCGCCACAGCTGAAACACTTGTCATCACCAGCGGGCTGTTCGCCTACAAAACCATCGCCGTCGTCAAAACCATCGTTAGCGAAGCCGGTGTTGTTGGTGGATGTGTTTCTATGAATGTCAGTATATCGGGTTCTAGGTAAGCATGGTTGAGAGCACATACCCAGCCTGTCCTCCGCTGGTCCAGTCATCTTCCCCAAAGGTGTTCGCTTGGGCCGAACCACCCTGGTCGTTGTTCCAATCGGACATGATGCAGGAGATCGTCAGCCTGAGTCTAAACGCGGTCGTTAGTATATGTGAGCAGAGATGAAATGAGTGTTTAGTGACGGCAAATGCAGAAGGGAATGGAGTAATGACGGCTCCCTGGATTCCGAGAAGGGAGAAGATAACTCTGGAAACGGATGCCAATAGCAAGCATCTGAAAATATGTCTCGAGATGAGAGGGAGATCGCGGAAAGCGGCTAACGAGTACCACGAAACGTGGAATAGCCAAAATCAGGCAGCAGAACTTCTCACGATGGTTCCACGACGACAGGTAAATTCGATGGATAGAAGAAATATGAAATGAGACAGAAAGCTGACGTTCTACGTACCTTCAGGATTGAGTATTGTCTGATTATCAACAGAAGCGTTGACCGGCAAAGACAACAACAAGTTGTTTCTTAGCAAGAGGGTATGAAGAGTTGAAACGAGTAGAAATAAAGCAGAGCCTTATATCGGAGATAACTCTGAAAGGGCAAGCGCAATGTTCTGTGCCTTTTTGTGCCCGATGAGAAATGTTGAGGAATGCAAGTGTGGTTGAGGAAGGAGAAGACGAAGAGAAGTGGGAGGAAAGAAGTAGCAGGAAAGAAAGAGCAGGATCAAATGAGGCAGTGAATCACTGTTGCCTGGCGCAAGAATTTATTAGAAACATCTATGCGTTTGTTTGTTCTATAATCCGGTGAAATCAAGAAGGAGGCATAAAAGGACGGCCACTGACAGCTGCACAGCACTGGCAATCACTTGGCTGCAGTAAAGGCATTAAAGCACCGGAATATTGCAGACCTTGAAATAGAACGTTAATACAAGAATAGAAGAGGAGCAGGAGTATGAGCATAATAAAGAGCATGCGATGATGATAATATGAAGAATGTTCTCGTGCCAATATAATATTAGGTACCTCGTAGTTGAGTCCTAACCAGCAACCTATCACTCATATATTGTTTAAAGGAACCGAGTGAGATTAGAGAATTACCCGCGACGCACAAATTCTAATCAACTGAGACTACTAAAAGAGAGTAGAGTTGCCTTCTTGCTGCTCCAATATGAAATCAAAAGCTAGAAATCGAGACCTTGTCACACCCAGATTGTGTAACACGAGATCAGATCAAGTTGTGTGTTCAACCAATAAATAGTTACCAGCGACCTAGAAACTGTACGGGACTGAAAAACCCAACTCAGAACGCTTCGAGTACAAAAGATCAGGCGAGATTTGCGCTGTATCGAAATTGTTGTGCAACACCAGTCAGTCACCTTTAAGCCTCACAATTGCGAAGGGGGATAACTTCATACGCACTCCAACGTTTGACTAATACCCCAGAAAAAAGACTCTCCACTATTACACAAGAGATGGGAGGCCACGAAGGCTGCAGGCCACAAGCTGAGGGCCGGGATCGCGGCTCCCATGCCCGTGTCATCCGCTCACGAGATTGAGCCCATGAGCACAGTGACAGACAACCTATGACAATGGCGCATATCGAAACCAAACAGCAATCGTACTGTTCGGGATTGGTCCGACATCGCCCACCGCCCGTTCCCGACCCGTACTGCAATATCTACGGTAGGTGGTTCCGAGCCGTTGTTCCCCCCACCCTTGGCTCGGATTACCAATGATCATATCCATGTCAGCTACTATACCCATTGCTCGGCCTCAGGGACCAAGAAAACATGGACTCTAGAAGAGGGTGCCAAAATAACTTATTAAAGAGCCCCTTAAGATGAGGCTAAGTTACCTAAATCTTTTTGTGACCTAGGATCGAATTCTTGAGTTTCCTTTCCTCGCCTACCTAGCTCGGGTACCTAGAATTGAAGTGTGGAAGAAAAGAAGAGCTCGGAACCAAACAGGGTTGAGAAAGATCAAGTCGTATGGTTTGACGGATAACTCTTAGCTACCAAAGACCACAAATTTCTTGCATCTCCGGGAAATGCAAACGGCAACACCAGACACCAATTCTTAGAGGCTACTTCCTTATCAACTTATCAGCGACAACTGATTGTGACTGCATGATTGTAAAAGCCATTCCCAATATGATGGGCTCTCGTAATGACCTTTCAATTCGGTAGAAGTACTCGGCGTCTCCGCAGTCGGAATAAGGGCCCTTTCGAAGAAGCCAAAAAACCCCCGCCGTGGAAAAGCAGAAAAATGACCCCGCAACCCTGATATCAGATGCAGTACCGTTCATCTGATAGTCAGGCCACACGGTACAGTCTCTAGTATGCTAGGGCATATTGCACAGTTCATATTGGCCGTGCACGGTACTGCCGTTCTTTGACTAATCCAGGACACCAGCGACCGCCGAGTCAAAAAGTCTGGGTCTAACATCACCTTGGAGAACTTAAAAACGTCCTGTCCGTCATCTTTCCCTACTCTCCCGTTTCCCTCCCCTCCCATTGATTTTGTCTTTCTGCTGTCTATTCACTCGCCATGGCGCCCGCGACCCTCATGATCGATCCCAGTGACGACTTCGTCATGCCTGTCACAAAGTCTGTCCAATCTACCTCGCCACCCAAGCGAACGCTTCTTCTGGCGCCTCCTTCTCTTGCTTCCAATTCCGACGCGCTCACATCTATCCTCGCCGATTATGATCGCTCCGTCACCGATCTCCAGATGCTTGACCGTCTCTCCTTGGGATTGGTCACATTACCTCCTTCCACCTACGACCTTGTCTTGGTCCTGTCCGATGCCTCTTCTATGTTAGGCGAATCCCTCGCTTTGATGAACCGAACTGTCCTTGGATCTCTTGCCGAGTCCCTAAAGCCTAGCGGTCGTCTACAGTCTCAAGATGGCAACAGCCTAGAGGAGTCCACTTTATCAAAAGAAGCAGTTTTGGCCGGGTTGATATCATCGCGGGGTGGTTTTGAGAAACCCGACTACGGTGAGAATGACGGAGCCATTACTCTGAAGTTCGGCAAGAAGAAATCCCAGCCCGCTCCTCTCGCAGATGGCTCTGTCCCTCTAAACCTGAAGAGGAAGCCCACTGAGGCGAAACCGAAACCAGCGATCCCTGCCGGCGTCGGCTTTATCGATCTTGAAGACGACCTTGAGGACGACGATCTAATTGACGAGGATACTCTCATGACTGAAGCGGATCTGGCGAGACCCATCAATATCCGTAAGTAACCCCTGCAAGTGCTTCCGTAGTCGAATATATCCTGACAACATACTAGCTGCCGAATGTCTACCCAAGGCTGGCAAACGTCGTCGGGCCTGCAAGGACTGCACATGTGGTTTGGCCGAACGTCTTGCTGCCGAAGACGCCGATAAGCGCGCAACCGCCGACAAAAAACTTGAGAGCATTAAACTGGCAACAGACGACTTGGCCGAGATCGACTTCACCGTGCAAGGTAAGGTCGGCTCATGCGGCAACTGTTCCCTTGGCGACGCTTTCCGTTGTGACGGATGCCCTTATATTGGGCTTCCTCCCTTCAAGCCAGGTGAAGAAGTTCGCCTGCTCAATAACGATGTGCAACTCTAAAGTTTGACTTATACAATCTTTCTTTCTTCATGGGCAACGATGGCGCAGCACTGCAGGCGTAAATACAAGCTTTACTTGATAGGTGGACTGTTTGCTTTGGAACATGGAACACGATACACAGGCTGCAAGCCACACAAGGATCTCGGGGCAAGGTTTCAAGGAGGGCTCAGATCTAGATACGGAGTTTGTCGGCGTAGGATTACCAACTTAGATGATGACAAAATTGATTTGATTCGCGATATGAATGAGGAAAACGCCAGACCTCCCAATTGTGACAGAACCAACCACTTTATGCAAAAGAACCAGGGCGCCAGCTATATATACAACCAGAGAAATCGTATTCAGGGTGGAATCGAGGCCCGTTCATGACCTGGGCTGGAAATTATTCGGCGTACTTGGTGACAAACTTCTCGCTACTGTCATGATTCGCTGGAAACCTAGCACTGTTGCTGGTTCCCGGTGTTGTTACATGCAAATCGTCCAGTTCGCTTTCATCAAAAGCCGCCGACTCAAGATCACCAGGCTGTGACTTGGCTCGGTGGACGTTGGGTTGACTGGAAAGATCGTGATCAGCCAAAGCAGAATAGGCAGCGCCCCTGCGACGTTCACGCCAGATCCAGTATCCCCAGACGATGACACCAATGACGACGATGACCAGAACAATTTCGCCAGACTTGTAGTATGCTGCCCACTTGGCCTCATCCAACTGCTTTTGGTGTTCCTCGTCGGCGGTCTTAGTACTGTTCTTGGCGTCGCCAACGCTGGTCTTTGGCCCCTTCTCGCCATCAATGCGACTGTCAGCAGGGTCGCCACCAACTCTGCTGATATCAACGCCCATGAAGCGGTCCAGCATATCTCGGCTTCTTCGTGGAAGGTCGAAAGGGACCATATGGGAGGAGTTGTAGACAAGAACATATGTCAAGTTTCGGGCCTCTTGCCAGAAACCAGCTGTCTCGTCCTCAAAAGTCCAGTCACGCCGAGGAGCCCAGTTGCCGGGTGTTACTTCGAAACCCTTCCCACCGTTCCACTCCATCTTGCTAATCATGTTTTCGGTTCCAATGTGGTTGCAAATGAGATCCTCAGCTCCAGAGAAGAGCATGATAGGAACCTCTTTAAGGAGAGCGGGCAGGAGATCAACCGAGGGTTTAGACTTCCTTGCGTTGAAGGCACCTCCAACAGCACCGTTACACTCAGTCCAACCGACAGATTTTTTAATGCCATCGACGTGAAGGGCTTTCGTAACCTCGGGCTTTCTCAAGTAAGGAGTTAGGTGCACCAGATCCGGAGGCCAGTTCATGCCGCAGCTAGGGTATGAATCTTTCAGTCGCACATCGTACATGTTAACGCATGCATTATCGCCGTCACCGTTCTTGGTTAGTCTGAGCATGTTTGACAAGATAGCCTCGCATTCGCCGTAATCAACATGGCCGACATCCGAGGCCATTATTCTTTGACAATTGCGCAGATCGCCTTGCAGTTGCTTGTGCTCGTCGGAATCCTTCTTGATTAGACCCT